TATTATCTGAGCACCCATCTTTTGCCCTTACTTTCTACATAATATAATTTAGTAGGCTCCATGGATGTTACAACCCAGTGTGAAGTCACTTGGTGTGTTTGATTCGAGAGCTAATAAAATGAAGCCTTCCTGTTACTGTGAAAAGTAACTGAAATTGATAACGACCTAAAAGGAGGCAGGTTTACAGCCCAGTGAGCTGCTAAGGATGCAGGTCAAGTTGCAGGATTGAACCTGCTTCAATTTCCCGTAATTTTCGCATAACCCAAGGTGCGGAATAGGCTCCCAGGAGCACTGCGGTCAGCAGTGCTTTTTCCCCTTAACTTTGGTAAACTTTGTGTCCAGCCTCGGAGTAAGTGGCTTCGATGTGAGTAGGGTGCAAAGCAACTGCCCCTGGTCTGTTGTCATCAGTACTTTGTGAAAAACTCTCAGGAGACGATGAAAGCAGCACTTGTGTGTGCGTTGGTAGTTGCACAGATAGGTTCTGCCTCTTAAATGTGATTTTAATAGGAATTAGTTTTTGATAGTTCCCATTAAACAAGTGTGTCTATTTCTTAACAGTCCTCTTAGAATGCAATAAAGGAGGGTTTCGTTTCCACCCCACTTCTATTTCCTCCTCCATTTCAAAGGCCTGTGGGCAGCACGAGGGTCTTGAAGTGTTTCCTATGAGCTCGGTGTCGCCAGCACGGGGCCGGCAGCAGAGGGAGCACAAAGCCCGGCTCTTAGGCTTGGCTCTTACATAAACAGCCGCTACTGTCTGGGGGGTTTCTTGGTTTTATTTCTCCGGAAGTTTCTGAAAGGCCGGGTGATCTGCGGCTCACGGATCAAACCTACGGCAGTCCTTGGACTGCTGTATTCCCACGCTGTGCCTTACTGGCGTGTCACCACCCTCTCGCTGTCGCCCGCGTCCACCTCTCCCCTCCTCCCCACCCCAAAAACGAGTCTTCTTACGGGCTTTCCAAGTTGGGACGCGCACAGTTTGCCCCGAGGTCGCRGTGTCTGTGGCACTAGGCTGGCCCRAAAGCCGCAAGGTCTGCGCACTGTGAGCACGAGGAGCTTCCATGCAGCACCAGGCGTGCAAAGTGTTAATTTTAAAAGCAAAAATAAGTATTTTGCCAAGCRAGGGCGGGGGGGAAAGGAAGGTTCCAGGAGGAAAGGTGCGTGTTCTGCACGCAGGCTGCATACGCTGCGTTGTGCAACGTGGTCTCTTAAAACACGGCTTGCTAAAGGGGGCTAAAGGAAACCAAGCGACTTTGAGCCCCATTTAAAAGGCAGCGAGGCACCAAATGGTTATTTTCAGCCACACAAACAAGCAGTTGGAAGCTCAGTGCACCCGCTATGATGCAACACTGTGAGATTTTTTAATTAGTAGACAACCCATTTTGTGTATTAAAGTATTTATTCCTTAGTAAGAATTTTTTTCTTTTAATCACAAAATAGTGTGGAAATATTTAGATAATAGAATTCATGGAGTGCTGGAAAATACTGAATATAAAGATTGATTTCTAATATATCACATACTAAACTGTTCTAAAACAGCTGGTTTCTTGCAGACAGGATTTATTTTTCTTTTAATAATTTAAGACAGCATAAGCTTGTATCAAGCGTAAGCATTGTAACAAAAGTGCAACTTTTTTTCAGCAAGTCCTCCCAAAAGATATTTAACTCAAAATATCATTAACACGTATTTTTCTCCCTACAAAAATAGCATGTCAGACATCATTAATTGGATGTATTAACAACTATTTACATACAGCCACTCTGGAGGCTAGTAAGATTTTCTTTTCGTTTAACGTTGTTTAAACACAGCGTTTGAGGCAAACAGTAGCAACAGCAGCAGCAAATGCACCAAACTGACTAACAGACCCCGGGTACTTGCTCCCTCCTCGTCAGACTGTTGTGTCTCACCTCTTACATAACATTCAAGTGAGATTTCTCACAGTGCTACCTTGGCAACAAACTAAAAATATCTAGGCAAGGTCTTGGTTTAAGCCTTATTATAAAAGCTTTATCTGTGTGATTATCTGGCGTCTGGTTTGTCTCCAGAAAGGGAAATCACGATATTTGGAAAAGTCTGGGAGTGGGGGGGGGGGGGAAAGGGCAGGGGGAAAGAGCCCCAAAGGAGACGTACCCCAAATCACCTAATGGTTTCTGACGGCGAAGCGAGGCGCTTGCCCGCGGCCTCCGGTGCGCGCCTCCTTCCCAATTTAGGATGGAAGGAGCTCGGGCTGATCCGTTGCTCTGTGTTTTCTTTGGAGGGGGCTGGGGGGGACTTTTTTTTTTTCTTTTCTATTTTAGTTCAGTGCAGAAACATTCATTTCACACAGCAGGGTTCGGGTGGCGGGGGGGGGTCTCTGGGGAAACGTACTGAATTAAATAAAGACGGGGTGAGGACAAATGCACTTGCCACAACCTGTATGCCTTAGCCGGGAAAAAATAATGGAAGGGGAAAACAACAACAACAACAAAAACATATAATCAAAAAAAATAAAAAAGCCAAAAGGAAAGGAAACCCCAAGCACACGGTTACGTAACGGGGCCTCTCTCCCCTGTGCACCCAGCCCCAGGTGCTCAAGCAGGGCAGGTCCAGGCTCGGCGCCGTCCCTCCTGGGTCCGTAAAGTGCTAACACGGGCGCGGGGCCGCCTGCCCGAGCAACAAGTGCAGCTTGAGCACGGGAGGGACCCACGTCGAAATAAGGTGCAATGTTTACCCGAGAGACAGACAGAGGGAGAGAGAACGGGGCAGGAAAAAAAACCATTAAAAGTATCCTTACTATGTTTTCTTCCTTTTCTTCTGTTTTTGTGTCTCCTCCACACACGCACGCACGTATAAAGCCGAACATTTGAAAAAAGACCGAGCGGCCGATGTGGCGGTGGCCGGTGCCTGCGGGTGGCAGCGGCTGCTCAGGGCGCCTCGGCGGCGGCCGCCTCCTCGGCGGCGGCCTCGGGCTCCTCGGCGGCGGCGAAGGGCTGCGGGGCGCGGGCTGCCTTGTCGGCGGCGGGGCCGAGCACGGACGAGAGGCACGGGAAGGCCGCGGCGGGCGCCGGGATGCCCGGGTAGAGCAGYGGGATGTGCGCGGCCGGGTAGAGGAGCTTCTCGAGGGCGCCCTTGTCCAGGAAGGGCTGCACGTAGGCGGCAGCCGCCGAGGGTGAGATGAAGTAGAAGGGCAGGCAGAAGGGGGCGGCCGCCGCGGGCTGTCCGAAGGGCGCCCCGCCGCCCAGCGCCATGAGTGAGCCCAGCAGCGCGGC